TATCTGAGAGTATAAGACCCCCTTAAAACAATAATATTTTACATGTACGGACCACTCGAGATCTTTACTGATTTCTTCCTTTATTAAGAGATTAACAGAGGTCACTGATTTGACTCGATAGGTATCCGGTTTGAGACTCCGGTTGGTCCTGTATCACCCTACACTGTCATCTCTCTTTATACATCACTCAATTCCAGCAGTACCCATCCCCGCCCCTGGGCAACCGGAGGCATTTCCTCACGTTGTCAGTCCCGGGGATGGGGCATTCGCAATTTTATCGTGGCCCGGGGGCTGGGCATTTGCGTAACCCGGGGGTGACCCCCGGGCATTTGACACACGTGTTTTAGAAAGTACCATGGATGAGTTCATCGGGAAAGACGAGGCGTTTGTCGAGCAATGGCTTGTCCGTCAGGGAGTAGAGAAACTTGTAGATGTTTTTAAAGGTATGTTTTCTCAATTTGAGATATTTCTTCGTTACTTGTAAGCATATAAACATAAGTTACAAGGTGAACTATATTTTAATTTGTTTATCACAAAACAATAACTCTCGTGAACACGACTATTTCGCATTTCGCATTCAAAACTAGCCTAGCATTTTTTAAATTCATGAAAGTGGAGTTAAAATACATCAGGTTTGCAAATCCAAATGATGCGATCTTCAAGACAGATCTTGCGAGCTCAAATTGCAATGCATCATCATTTAATGATAATTGCTTTATTGTAAACATTGTTAGCGGGATTGTCGTTGTTCTAGTCGAAATATTCAAAACAAATGGTTTTCATACAACAAAACATTTAATATCACGCTATCCTCTGGCAAACTTTTAAGAACAAAATATAAAGAAATAAATATAATCAAAATCACCTAACATGTACTGTTGTCCTTGAAGTCTTACAGTTGCATTAAAATACTGAACAGTTGAACATTTTATTCACTGATTAATAAAAAAACTGCAGGGGTGTTGGAAGGTGACGATCCCGGGGGCGGGGCATTTGCCCTCTTTCTTCGTCTCCATCCCGGGGCATTTAGACAGCTTATGTGTCCCCAAACCTGGGAATTTGCCCATTTTTTAAAAAAAATACGCTAATGCCCGGGGGTTAGCCCGGGGGAGGGGGGGATGGGCACTGCTGGAATTGACTGACGCATTATATGCAACGGGAATGACCGGAAGGTACAAAGCTTCTGTCACCAGAAACCTTCCATAGTAATGTAATACAAGTTATATTTCAGTATCTTACCCTAACATCATCAGTTTGATGAGGATGCATTATAAATAAACTTCTTTATTTGGTGGTGTTTTCGTTTGGGAATCGAGGGACAAAACGTAAAAAAAAAAATTGCCACTTTGACCTGAAAGCCTCGAAGCCATGTTAGAATATTGAAATATGGAACGTGGCCTATTAGAAAGCCAGTTTTGTCTCTTGTTTAACTCCTAATGTTCCACGATGATGATCCCATGTGATGATGTCATCTACAAATTCTTTTGGTGTCTCTGGTTGGCTGATAACATGTGCGCACATTGACAGGGGGGAGGGGTGGTTCAATTAGAAAGGAGGCTTTCGCATTTAATTATTTCGGTAGCCCTTAGCTACTACAAAGGGATGACAATAGGAATGTCAGCTTAATGCTTCTTAAATTCGCCAAGGTGATTAATCCTAGTTCAAGCTGACTTCAACCTCCTTTGCCAGCCAACCTAGTAGCCTCCATGCGGAGACATTCTTTGTGCTCCTTCCCAGATTTCCCGAGAGTCCAAAGAGCGTCCAAGATTACGTGACGACCCCAAAGAGCGTCTCCGTAGGAGGCTACAGCCAACCTAGCACAACTGAACTTTTTTTAAAAACAAATCTTCCCTTTTTTTCCCATTTAATCGTGTCTTCCTCAAATCGAGTTTTTTGTTATTAAATACTACACTGGAAACTTCCATAGAATATTCACAGGTTTTCTATCTTCTATCCTTAAGGTCAGAAGCTCCTATAATTTTAAAAGCTCTCGGTGAAAACAAAAATACTATTTCGTAAAGTGCATACAAAAACAGGTAAGAAAATACCTTTCTACAGGGTCCAAATAAATTGCATTTCCCACAAAACCTAAACAAATTATACTTCNCTCTCGGTGAAAACAAAAATACTATTTCGTAAAGTGCATACAAAAACAGGTAAGAAAATACCTTTCTACAGGGTCCAAATAAATTGCATTTCCCACAAAACCTAAACAAATTATACTTCCTACAATTAACAAAGCCTAACTAAATTGAATAGCTCCGTCTCCAAGCTTTTTAAAAATTACAATTTTTACAAAGCCTAAATAATATGCAGGTTGTACAAACCTTACATAAACTATATTTCCCAGAACTGATAATGCGTTTTCTGATATTACACATGTTCGAGCCGTGGACAAAATCTCACTTAATTGATTCAGATTCTATATACAGATCCACTGCAAAGTCTGTCCTCTTTTTGTGCAAGAATAAAGTTCTACCAGTCTGAAAGGTTCCTTCCAGTTTCACAGCAAATGGAACATCTACAACTGCCTTTGTCAGTCTAGTTGCACCTTGTTAATGTATAATGCACACAAGACATTGGTACCAGACGCTTGTCAGAATAAAGGCATTAGGAATCTTTATCAGTGACTACTACGTCCTCGAGTCACCGGATTCGTCTGGAAATTCCAACTGGCACTGTGCCCTTTTCACTCTTGAAGCTTGATCCTGTTGTCCAAACAAAAAAATCGAAATAGAAGATCACATAAAATAATAATAAT